TGAAGATGCACCACGTTCTGGATGGCCAGTTAAAGCCAATGAAAACAAAGTAAAGGTACCGATTGAAGCAAACTGCCGAATAACAACATGTGAAATCACTAAGAGATTAAATTTGTCAAATTGAACTGTTTATGATTACTTGAAACAAGTTAGTTTCATTTCAAAGCTCAATATATGGGTTCCACATGTTCTTAAGGAGAGATGATATCTTTGGTGGGATTTTAAGAAAATTTTTTTTTTTGAGCTTTTACCAGACAATTTAAGAATTGATTCAAAAGTGTACTGCCATCGAGTAAACAAACTGAGTAATATCATCAAACAGAAAAGGCCAGAATTGATCAACAAAACAGGTGTAGTGTTACCATTATAATGCCAAATTGCACACAAGTTTGGTAACTCGTCAGAAACTGTTATAACTTAGATGAGACGTGCTATCACACCAACCATATTTGCCAGATCGAGCACACGCAGATTACTACTTGTTCCAGTCTATACAAATTTTTTTTAACTGTAAGACATTTACTTGAAATGACAATGTCAAAAATCACTTAAATCAGTTTTTTGTAAGCAACAACCAAAACTTTTATGAATGTGAAATCATGCTACTACCAGAAACGATGACAACAGTTATTTGACCAAAATGATCAATATATAATTCAATAAAATATTTATTTATTATAAAAATATTGTTTTTTTCTTCCATGGAAAAAAAAACAAAATTACTTTCCGAACAACCCAATATTTAAACATTAAAGAATTGGCCATTTGCAAATAATAATGTATATACAGTTATTATTTGCAGATAACCAACTAGTTATAGCTGATGATTATGATGATTTAACATATATGACAAGAAAGCTGAAAGAAGAATACAATAACTGGGGACTCAATATAAATATGGAGAAAACTAATTATATGGTTTAATAAGTGTATAAATACAAAACGACATATTCACAAACGTAAAAAAACTTGCTTCTGTCTATCCTTCCATCATTTCTACACCATCAGCAATCCTTAAAAACAATTCACAAAAGTTTCCGAGACGACCTTCCTTTTTAGGCTACTGTTTCAGCAAAAAAAGTGTAAATATAGGTAAAGCGTCCTCTAGTGTTTATTAGCCATTTTTCACAATATCACATTTTTTTACCTTTTTTTAGCAAGGTTTTTTACCTTTTGTGAATATGTTGTTTTGTATTTATACACTTATTAAATGTAATTAACGCCGGCAATAGTTTATTTTTACTATTTTTACTTAAAATGTGATATTGTGAAAAATGGCTAATAAACACCAGAGGACGCTTTACCTATATTTACATTTTTTTTTGCCGAAACAGTAGCCTAAAAAGGAAGGTCGTCTCGGAAACTTTTGTGAATTGTTTTTAAGGATTGCTGATGGTGTAGAAACGATGGAAGGATAGACAGAAGCAAGGTTTTTTACCTTTGTGAATATATCGTTTTGTATTTATACACTTATTAAATGTAATTAACGCCGGCCATAGTTTATTTTTACTATTTTTACTTAATTATATGGTAATTGAAACTGAAGACATACATGATTTAGTTTTGAAGGAAAACAGAAAAATTGAATTTATTAAAGGATGTGATGAATTTAAATATTTAGGAACAAAGGTTACTAATGATGGCCAGATGGAAATTGAAATTGGGGACAGGATTGTGAAAGGAAGATCTATGATAAGAAATGTTAAATGGAATCTTATGGGATAAACAAACCTTTAAAACAGTAAAAATAAACATATATAAATCATTAGTTCTAAGTAATAACATATGGAGCAGAAGTGTGGGTATTAAATTCAAAATCTAAATCTAAACTAAATCCACAAAAATGGACTTTTTGAGAAGATCTGCTCGATGTTAAAAACTAGATAGAGTGAGAAATGAGGAAATTAGGGAAAAAAATGGATTCTATAGTCAACTATATCCATAACAGACAATTAACCTGGTATGGCCATGTTTGAAGGATGGAAGAAGGTAGGCTTCCACAACAGACATTGAAATAGACCCCGTAGGAGGAGGAGGAGAAGACTGCAAGCTGTATGGATAGAGGAAATAAAGAAAGCTATAGAATACAAAGGATTGTCAAGATAGAAGAGAATGAAGAAGAAAAGTTTGGGCACAGGAAGATGCTTAAGCATTGTTAACCTGTATAATAATAAATAAGAATTTATTCAAAATGTGTTCGATCCTGAAGATGGCTACAAAGTTACCTGAAAGCATTTGAATTAAAATAATTGCTGGAATAGGTTCTTTGTTTTTAAATATTTACAATAATCCAGTTTAAGATCAGTATATGAGAACTTAGGTACTACAAGATTTGTTTATTTTGTATTCTAATGAGTTTCTTAACCTTACTCAAGAACAGTAAATTAAAAATTCTAACTTAGGTGATCAGCTTAAAGCAGTCTTTTATTATATAACATGAGTTTGAATTTTAATTGGAGCATAATATATATTTTTAAATCTGTCTTAATTTAAAGTGGAAACAGTAGCTGTTTTAGATTAAGTAAGATTTTTAAACAAGCATAAATTTTTTAAGGCTCTTCTTATAATGTAAAACTCCTATCACATAAACCTTTTATGATATCAAGCATTAAGATTCTAACTAGACTAGAAAATATTGAACAAAGACTGAGTATCAACAAACATACAGATTATTTGTGCTTGTCTGAGGTCTCTATGCCCAAAACTGCCACTGGATAAAAATGTGATCTATATTTTGTATGATATTTATTAATAAATATCACACAAACATATCAATGTATTATTGTTTGTACAATATTAATAATTACACTATAAAAGAATTCAATTTAAATAAAAAGTAATCTTTGTGAGGAAAAAATTTACTGTGCATAAAGTTTTTTTTTCTCATAAAAACAATCACAGATAATACAAACAAAAGTTATTACTTACCTCTGTCTAACTGAGGAGGTGGTCTGTATTTATAACCAGGTTGACTCCAGAATACTGGAACAGAACCTCTCACTTGAACAAATGATACAATGTGAGATAAATATTGAAATATCTGTTCGGTTTCCACATAGTTGGCGCATTTTCCATCTTCGTCAACACCACGACGCTTGTATCTGGTGCCCGCTCTGTATCGACTTCTTCGAGAGATGACGGTCATCGTGTATTCTTTGACCTGTTTGGTAGAATAGTCTTTAATTTCACAGTCCGGACTGGTTATGTATTCTGGAGTCTCTGCAGAATCAATCCAGCATTGTTCAATCTGTACAAAGCCTTGGATAATAGGCACAATCCAATGATCTGCCTGAGGATTCTGTAAATATATTTTGATAAAAAAAGTTGTCATAATTTCTCAATAAATTGTTAGGATTCTTGCCAATTCCTACCCAAGATTCAATTAGTTCCATTAACATGTGGCGATTCCAAAAAAATCTCTCATCTACTCTCTTCCAGAGCGGAATGGCTTCGACACTTGAAGAATTCGAGTGAGCCTGTTGACGCTGTAGCGTATTAGTAATGTCTCCAGAAAGGGAATAATAAAATGAATCCGTATCTGTGAACATCTTAACCAATTCCTGTAAAAACATCAGATTCATTAACAATGTCATAACTGTGATAATGCAAGAATCTGCATTCACAAAAAAAGAAGCTAAAACAAACAAAATTCTTAGAATTAGACTAAATTGTGATTTTAAATTTGAGAGAGAATTTTTTTTAATAACTTACATCTAGAACTCTTCTTTCTAGTTTTTCTCTATCTTTGTTATCCTTCTGTTAAAAAAATGATATAAAATAATTGTACTTAAAACAACATAATGAATTAGAAAAAACTGATTTTAAATTAATTACATTTGCCAGTCAGTTACTTCAGCTTTATATATCTCAATAATTTCTATATTAATAGCAATTAAATTGAATTTGCTAGCCATTTGAAAAGAATCTTTATACTAATATGGCTTTAAATATCTTTAATGTGATATTAATACTTCTTTTTCTTTAATGGCTTGTTAAACTGATATTATTATGAACAGTGCTGGATTCACCTATAGGCCGACTAGGCCCCGTCTAGGGGCTTCGAAACTATCAATCTGTTTTCAACTTTTATAAACTTTTAATAAGAAAAAATATAAGCCATTTAAAAAAAATCTTTTTTAATAAAACATTTCTCGTGTCACACAAGAAATGTTTTATTTTAAAAATTGTAAATTTTTTCAATTGTAAATTGTATTCAATAAAATTGTAATTTTATTGAATACGTGTGACCGAGTGTCTTTCATGTGATACCCAAGCAGGAAATCCAATTTACCAGTATGTATTTTTGAGAAATATTACTGAAAATAATCCATTTTTAAATCACAAAAAACTATTCCATAAGGTTCCGTTACTAAGACGATATAGAGTTCTAAAAAACAACACAGCAAATTTGAAAATCCATTAAGATGTTCTATTTTGAATATCCAATTTGAAATTTTGAATGTTTTTCGAATGTGTTTCATGTTTGTTTATATTTTGGAGTAAAATTAATACTTTATTATTTGGAGTCCAAATAAAAGTATTAATTTTTGAAAAGCTCCAAATTTTGGAGCTTTCATGAGATTGCTGAGATTTTCGGTTATTAACAAAGAAATTACTTTAAAACAAATGTACAGCAAGAATTTTTGTAAACTCATCACAAACTTCAGATTTGAAAATATTAAAATTCACTTTTTAATTGCTTTTATAATTTAAATTATTTATTGAAAGCAGAAATGAAGAGAATCTATGAAAGTGGGGCACTAAAACATAAGAAAAAGGCAGAAAGAGGAGGAGATCAAGAAAATACCAAAATTAGATGCATTTTCACTAAAGCTCAAATAAAAGAGTCAGAAGCAGCAACCACAGGTACAAATGAGAAAGGAATTCATGAAAGTTCTTCAATCACAGCAAGTCCAACTTCAAGTGCAGAGTCTAGTAGTTCAAATCAATTTTTTGGAAATTCCTTGGATGATTTAGTTGATATAGCTCAAGATATGACAACAGAAATTGATTTACCACTTAATAGAGGTAATGATATTAGGTGATGGAGTGATTTATCTAATGAAGATGTTTCATTTTGGATTTAACAAGAACCAACAGCTTGTCAGCACTGGACGATAATTTTCAGTTTTCTAAACAGTCTTACAAGGATCATGATCGGTATTGTTCAAGAGCATTATTTACTAGTGAAAGAGTCAATGGTGAGATATACAATTGTGACTGGCGATTTATTCACCATTTGTAGGCAGTGTTTTTTGTTTTGTATGTAAAATATTAAAAATTCAAATTTCTCCCTTGCCATAAAGGTACAGTACTTAAAGATTGGAAGAATGCTGCTTCTTTATTGAAAAGTTATGATAATTTGCCAGAGCATAGCGAGGCTTTGATGTTTTATTTAGTACAGCGCTGTCCAACTTATCATAGCCCGCGAGCCATATTTTCTTCACCAAACATTTCGGGGGCCAAGAAGGTTGGTGATGGCTAATTGGTTGGCCGGGAATCATGCCACATGACATTTGCATAGTGCTACAGTCTGTAAGCACTAATTGGTCAGCGAGTCCGATGTTGACGCTATAAAAAGGCGACAGTTCGACACACCGGATATACGTCACTCTCGTCTAAGTTCGACTTGGGAATTTTTTTTTCAATAATAAATGTGAATTCTTCTTCCTGGAAAAAATAAGACCTAGTGCATTTTTCAGAGCAAAAATTAATATAAGACACTGTCTTATTTTCGGGTAAACATGGTAGTAAAATAATTTTAATATTAATAATAATAATTTAGTAACATAAATTTATTCATATTAAAATGTACTCGCGGGCCGCCAGTTGGACAGCGCTGATTTAGTACATAGAAGCAATAATACATTATCTGATCAGTTGAAAAATAAAATACGGAAAGAACAAAAGTATTGGAAAAAGTTACTGAAACTAGTAGTAGTAAATGAAACATTTGGAATGGAGGGCAATGGAAACTATTGGACTTTCAGAATGATAGCAAAATTTGATCCATTTTTATCTGAACATACTAAAAATTATGGTCAAGCTAGTTTGGGAAGAACTTCATATCTTTCACAAAAACAGTATGTGAAGAACTAATTGCTTTGATGGCAAAAAAGTTTTAGAATCAATTAATACAGATGTAAAAAAATCAAAATATTTTGGAATTTCAGTTGATTCCACTCCAGATGTTTCTCACAAGGATCAACTATGCATTATTTTGAGATATGTAGATGAATTGAGTTTTGAACCTATGGAATGATTTCTGAACTTCATTGAAACTGAGGATCACACTGGAGCCAATTTAGTGGAAATGACTAAATATTTTGGAAACTAATGCTGGTTTGAATTTTGCTGATTGTAGATCTCAGTCATATGATAATGGAATGAATGTGGCAGGAAAATATAAAGGTATGCAAACAAAAATTTTGGGAAGGAACAGTAAGGTGAGTTTTTTACCATGTGCTGGACACTCACTGAATCTGGTTGGTATTTCTGGTGCTGAATGTTGTATAGAATCAATCAATTATTCTGGAATAGCTCGACAAATTTTCAATTTTTTTTCATCATTCACCAAAAGATGGAGTGTAATTGAAAAAAATTCCAATCAATCAGTAAAATCATTATCAAAGACTAGATGGAGTGCTTGAGCAGACTCATCAAGGTAATATATGGTAATTATGGAAGTTTATTGGATGCTTTAAACAGTATTGTAGAGAATAAAAGTTTTGATGGAACCTCAAGAGCAGACACACAAAATTTACTGTCAAAAATGGAAGAGTTTGAGTTTGCATTGCAAACAGTTTTTTGGAATGTAATACTAGAAAGAATTAATGCAGTTTCCAAGTCCTTGCAAGATTTGAAAATCATGTTAGACACATGCTCTTCTTTGTATTCATCTCTTGGTGAGTTCCTAATGAGTTTGAATGATCAGTTTGACACAATTGAAGCAGAAGCTAAACAATTATTTCCTGATACTAAACAAAATAGAGACAACAAACTAAAAAAAATAATTCCAGGTGAACCTCAATCAAATGAAAAAATGTTAAATCCTAAAGAAAACTTTAAAAATAATGTTTTTCTGAAAATTTTGAAAAACATTAATATGAATTTGGAATGAGCTGAGACTTATAAGAAAATTAATCAGAATTTTGGATTTTTAATCAACATTGGCATTCCTAATGAAGAACTGAAGACGTATACAAAATATTGTCAAGCAATACCAAGGAGATATTGATGATTCATTATATAGTGAAATTTTGCAATTCCATAGTTTCATCAAAATTAATTACAGAGATTGAGAATCTCCTTTGATTCATTTGTTCTTGTATAAGATGATAAGAGAAAAGAATATAGAAATTGCATTTTCAAACACTGAAATAGTTTCAAGAATTTATTTATGCTTGATGATTACCAACTGCTCTGTTGAGAGAAGTTTTTCAAAATTAAAATTAACCAAAAATGATCTAAGGTCAACCATGGCCCAGAATAGTTTAAACAATTTCACTTTATTATCCAGCAATGTCAATAAAACAAAATCTATTGATTTTGATTTATTAATCAATGAATTTGCCAAAGAAAAATGTAGAAAAATTTTTTATAAAACAAATTGTAATTTTTATCTTGTTTTTAATTTTTTATTATACTTTTCATATTTTTTAAAGTACCACTGACTGTCTCTCAACTTGATAATCTAGGATTAACTTTTAAATCAGATCAGGTATTTTAAGATAAAATTTATAACAATTCTTATTGAATAAGTGAAATAAAATTAATTTCAGAGATGATTATTATTTTTAGGGACCCCAAGCCTTGCTTGTCCTAGGGTCCCCAAAAATGCAAATCCAGCTCTGATTATGAAGCTGTACAAAAATGTCAGAATAGAACATTAAGTTTTAAATATAATATTAAATATGGCAAGTAATTATCTAAACTGGCTACTTACCCGTCTTGGTTTAACCTGGGCTGTTGCCGTTCTGATCGAATTCCATGTTTTCTGTAGAGCCCTCTGCTGACATTCCACAGCTGATCTCTCAGTCTTTCGTATTCCGATGTGGTGCCTCTTGCACAGCTGTAATGCATTAAACTTTTCAATGTAAAAGTTTCGACAGAAACTTATTAAAATAAGAAAAAATTAACTTTAATAACTTAAAAATGACTTTGCATGCAAGATTATATCTAGTTCCTCTGTGGGAACTTGATAATTATAATTTTTACATGTACAAATTACATATATTGATATTTAAAAGCATTCCACCATTTACTTAATAAATATTTATGTATGGTAATAACTTCTTCAGTGCTACAAATAATTAATTTATATTTAATTTTTTATGCAATCATAAATTATAAAATAAAAAGCAAAAGATTTTTATATTTTTTTAATATATATATAAAAACTCATGCAATGAGCTCTTAATTATTACTGAAATTGGCTACTGCAGCAAATAATAAATGATAATGACAACAATCATAAAGGCTTAATTAAAAGCTGTGCGCCATGCCAACTACACTCTTCGACGACAAAGAAGAAAATTTAATATTAAAAAAACAAGCTCGACTCTTGGATCTTGTTTCTTCTTTCTTGAGAAAGAGGTGTGAGAAAGAGCTGTGCTGAAACTGAATTGCACTCTAAATTTTGTAAATACCCTACAAGTTTTACCTTATTTCTGGGGGTATTCTTTTTATCACTCCCCAGTTCTGTTGTTTCCTCATCTTTCTGAAACCACAGAAAGTAATTCTTTGATATACACCCAAAGAAATATATTCTAGTTTATAGGTGGCAGTATTAATTTAGAAATATATATACATACACATATACACACATCTTTTATTTTTCCAAAAGCAGATAACTGTTCTACTCCATATTAAAGCATGGAAAAGCACAGTTCCCTCCCTTTAATTCCCATCTGCCACCTATATGACAATTTTCTACTTTCTACTTTTAGAAAACACAACAGACAAAATGTAAACGATAAATTTTCTCACTCCAGACCACTTACTTCAATGTCCAATTCTGGAACGTCATGTTGATTCAATGGCAGAATGGCTATCTTTTGAATTTTGTAGACTTCGTGGCCCCCTGGGAGACATCCGACCAAGGCTCGCTGCCGAATAAGTAGTAACTTTTTGTCAACATCTGGAAAATGTAATCAGGTAAGTCTTTATTCAATCATTAATACTTGTTGTAGCTAAAGCAACAAAGAAAATTTAATAAACTTCTCTGTTTATGTTATTTTATCTTTTCTGTTTCATTTTATTCATCCTAAACTTCTGAATTTATTAGTTTTAGCATAACTGTTTATGATAAATATTTGTCAGGTTTTCTAGAATCACTTTGTACACCTTGTACCTGTATCTGAGCATCCAATTTTGACAAAACATATAAATCTAAGAATATTTAAATTAATAAGATTCATAAGAGGCAAGGAACATTGACTGATAGTAGAAAAATGGTAATTAGTATTATACAGTTGTAAAGTGTTGCTAAGAAATCTGCTAAATCTTTAATATGAATGGTACTGTACATAGAATCAGTGTAATATTACCAAGATTCAAAGGTTATAACTAGGGTTTCTCAAAGGGGATTGATCCTGGGATCCCAGTTGTTTTTTAACCCGAAAAATTTTTCTTATCCCAGGAAATCCTGCAAATTTCTTAAAAACTCACTTTTTTTTTATTTTGTGATTAAGGTTGAGGAATTTTGCAAATAGAAAGTATAATTAACTCATAAATTTTCAGAATACATTTGTATTTATTAATTTTAAACCTACTTATTAGTTTTTTTTTAATTTTTGCTTGTTATGGCATGTCACAAATGGTCAATAATCAATATGTAGCTTATTTTTGGCAGGACTTTCAAAATTCTTTACCTGTAATATCTGGAATAATTGTGCTTATGCTGTCTTAATTTTTAACCATGCCCAGTAGCTTCAATAACTGCGTAATGCCAGGTTGCACAAATTGGGCAAGGATACAAATGAGTACGAAGTCTGCAAGTACTGTATGAAGTTTTCTTCATAACCTGATTATTAAAGACAAACGAACTGCCAAATTATTGGGCTATGATGTTTCTATTAAAACAGTCAAGATAGACAAATCATGAATACTAGAGAGCAAAAGAAATATTATAATCTCAAAAATGAATTTTGAGATTATAATATTTTGAGATTATAATGAACTAGAAATCTTCCAGGCTATGGATGAAAAAACACATAATATCTGTCTTCTCTTAAATGCATTAAACAGGATTCCAATCGCATCAATTGAATTGGAAAGGGCATTCTCAGTAGCAAGACTTTTCATTACTAAAATAAGAATTAGATTGAGTGATCAGAGTATCGATCATCTTTGCTTTTTAAAATCTTATAAAAATTTACAATATTTTGTATTATATTTTATTTAAAAAATGAAAATTACCTTCTAAGTTAGAAGTTTGATCTAAGTTCAATTTTTTTAATTTTTAACTCAATTCAAAGCATTTTTTGTTGTTGTTGTTGTTGTATGCAGTTTCCAGCAAACTTTAATAAATTTTTTTCTATTTGTGAAAATTTGTATTTAATTCAAAGGTAATTTTTAATAATGCTGTGTAAGATATATATTAATATGATTTTGGAAGCTACAGAACATATTAAATTACTTTAAAAAATGAAAAATAATTATATCATTTGATTTCAAGAAATTTTGTATATCTTAAAAATAATTAATTCTAACTCGGGATTTCTTGGGATTCTGGGAAACAGTTCACTTTTATTCCGGAATCCCGGGACAAGCTAAAGACTGGAAAACGAGAAACCCTAGTTATAATGAATCTTCAACAGATAGAATCCTTAGTGTAGACATTTGATTAACATAGTGAAACATGCAAGTGCATTCCCACCATGTCAAGTCATACATTAATCATGGATGAAATAGCGGCACACTGCTATAATCAAGCTACTCTGAAACTGAAAATAGTGGATAGCTCAAGATACAGAGTACACAAGAACTTTATAAACATGCAATATATCAAAATACAGATATGATAACTGTTAGGGATTACGAGTCAATTCTATAAATAATGAAAAGAAATCTGTAAGTACTTAGTTGTTTCTCAATATTAAGCCAAATCTATATAATTGATTTTTTAAAGTCTTTTACTTTATTCTCTGAAATGAAATTAATCCATAATATTTTGTAATTTCAATCTAAATCAAAAGAAAGTTTTGCATTTCCTTCTAAAATACATTTTCTGGTAATCTTCTTATGAGTTTATTAAATCAATAAAGTTTCAATAATACTCTTTCCCGTAAAGACATTATGGTAATCATTGTGACGATTTTGTGTCACCAAGAAAATGAATGACGTCAAATGAAAAAACTAAATGAACAAACTTGTTATCGCCAACAAGGATAAAATATTTTATTTTAATATTTTGATAATTTCCTCCAAAATCAAGCTTAGAATACAATATTGTATTTAAACAGAATAATAAATAATACAAATATTTTGAAAACAAACATTTTATGTAGTTAAATATTTTCAAAATTATCAAAATTAAATATTCTTAACATAGTTTTTAGAAAAAATAATGCAAAAATTGTTAAACAACAACTACTTGAGATATTTTTATAATGAAACAATTCACTCAATATGAAAGTAAATTCTGGAATTATCAACATCATTGTGATTTATTGCATACATATTAGACTACATATATATATATATATGTAAACTATATATTCCAACATATATACAAGCAAATTTTTAATTATATAATAAAAATTATATATTAATTAGGTACTGTACATACATACATACACATACATAATAACAAACTATAATCAATTTAAAATTATAATCTGTTTCTCCACAGCTCTCTATTTTGAACCATCTTTATCACTGTTTATAATGTAATATCTTTATATTTGCCAGTTAACTCACTAATGTATTCTATAAATTGTCTCTTAAGTCTCCCACATTTTTTCTTCCCATTAGTAGATTATAGGAGGAAATTCATTTAGATTTTTCAAATTCTTGGATACAGAATCTAAATGAACATGCATTTTTTGAATGTATAACTAAGTTGATTGAAATTATACTGTCAAATAATGTAAAATTAAATAAAAAAACAAGCAAAGTTGTCATTATTCATGAGAACAGAATAAATGTTTCAATCATTCATAAAACTAGCAAGAATATAAATTAGAAATTAAACTCTCTCTTAAAGCAAGTCTTAGAAGTAAACCAAAAGCATTTGTTTTTGAATTTTTTCATTAATCTGTGAGGAGAAACACAAAGTTCGAGTGTTTTTTAATTTTTGAGAATGGATAACTTGTCAATAGTCAACACATTAAAAATTTTAAACTGAATCTCAATCTTAAATGAAATTAACAAAGAAAAAACACATCATTTACTTCAAATTTAAGATGACATCAAAATTTTTCAGAGAAAAAAATTGGATGATCAGAACTAAATATAGTTTAAAAGAACTAATTAAAGAATAAAAATGTTAATATCATATTTAAAATAAAGTGTAGTTAACAGAAAAAAATTTTTTAATGTAAGCTTTACTTAAGAGTGAGGAGCACTTTGAAATTAAAATGAACATCAATTTAAGTTCAAAAACACACAAACAAGTGTATTTTAAATCTGAATAATGAAGCAATACAGTAGTCTTAAGAAGGTTCATAAAAATAATTGCGTTTACGTAAAATGAACAGAAGCTGTTATGCTATATCAAAGTTACTCGTAACTGTTTCTAATTTGATTTTTTTTATATAAATTAATTTACTTTATTCTCTAAAATTATTGCCATTTTAGTTTTTATTCATAGAAAATGATTTATTATATTTTTATTTGAAGTATATACTGTATGTTGTAATTATGAATATTTGGAATTTTTTGATCTCCGAAGTTAACATCTCATTCTGTATTAATTGAAGTTCATGTAGTGTACATGTTATGTTTGTTATATCATGAATAGATAAGGATCGAATTTATAATTTATAAACTCCATATGTTATAGTCAGAAAGCTGCATTATTTAGCAATGAATCAAAACTTATTATTTATGTAAAGAAAAATATAAATTCTGTAGAGTTACAATATCACATTTTCCTGCTAGGACTTTTTTAGTGTTTAAGTCTATAATTAAGTTTTTTTTTGTTAATGTGCATCCTCTAGCAAAGCTAACAGTTACAAAACACAATATTGTATATCCCTATAATGTCTTTCCATTACAGAAAATGGAAAGCTCTATTACATTTGTGACTTATCTAAAACAACTGCTTTGAAATTGTCAGACAATAAAATTTAATCAGTTTTGTAAAGAAATTCATAATCAAGTAAATGTATCAATGATAAATATTATGATGAAACAATCATCCATCATTTATCAATTCGATATACCATACTATGTAATGTAAAACTGTTACTCATGAAAAATACAAACCTAAACTGCCAGATTGCCTGCGGGCTACATTGAGACAATTTAATTAATTAATTATCCAAATTTGTTCTAAAAATAGGTAGGCTGTTATACAATCATCTTGTATGATGATTAATGATTAAATTATATATTAATTTTAAATTAATTTAATAAGTTAGAAAATTCTGATCTTAATGATTGATTTTAATGTATCGACTAAGCAAATCAATGTGGATAATGATGGCTTGAATAAATTATAATATAATGTATGTATTTAATTTATAGTATCTCTTCCTAAATGTATTGATCCCACAATTTTAAAACTTGTCAATGTTTAAAGTCAAAATAAAGACTTTTATAAATAATACAGTAGTCATTTTTATTATTCATACATATAAAATGAATATGTTGTAAACTTTATTAATTATAAATGATAAAATTTATAATAAAATATTTACAAAACATTTTGTGCCACAGCCTTTTAAATATTTATTTAAATCTTAAAATCTTTTATCATTACCTATTTGTGTGCTCTTTTTCTAAAAGAAATTACTGCTGGTATGCATATATGGTGACTGAACATACAGAATTTTATTTTATGAGCAACTGCCAGTGCACTGTACCAGTTATTAATACTTTTTATGCTATCTACCAATGTGATTACCAGCACATACCAGTTAAAAAACTGTTCATTTATAATTAATGCATAATAATAGAGAAAGTATATAAAAA